TGGCCCCCGGGGAAGGCGGGGACGACGGCGACAGCGGCCACGACAGCAAGAGTGGCGGCGAGGAGACCAGCGTGTGTGACAAGTGCTGCGCCGAGTTCTTCAAGTGGACGGACTTCCTGCGGCACAAGAAGAGCTGCACAAAAAACCCGCTGGTGCTGATCGTCAACGAAGATGAGCCGGCCCCAGCCTCGGAAGAGTTCCCGGAACCTTCCCCAGCCAGCTCCCCCAGTGAGCCGGCGGAGAGCGAGGCTGCCGAGGAGGCGGCCCCCCCAGACCGCGGGGAGGGCGGCGAGGTGAGGCCCCCGGAGAAGGAGGAGGAGCCCATGGACGTGGAGTCCACCGTGGGCGACAAGAGCTTCCAGAGCCCGGGCCCCTCGCTCCCAGGGAAGCCGCCTCTACCTCAGGCCCCCGAGCCGGCGCCCGTGACCGCGTACGGCATGCCAAGCACCAACGTGACGCTGGAGACCCTGCTGAGCACCAAGGTGGCCGTGGCCCAGTTCTCCCAGAACGCCAGGGCAGCGGGGGCGGCCGGCCCCGGCAGTGGGGTGGCGGCGGTGGCCGTCCCCATGATCCTGGAGCAGCTGATGGCCCTGCAGCAGCAGCAGATCCACCAGCTGCAGCTCATCGAGCAGATCCGCAGCCAGGTGGCCATGATGAGCCGCCAGCCCTTGCGGCCGCCCCCGCTAAACCCTGCAGCCACCGCGGGGGCCCCGGGAGCCCCCGTTCCCACCTCCGGCCAGCTCCCGGGGCTGGCCGCACACCCCGCCCTGCAGCTGCCCGCCGGGGCCGCCCACGTCCTCACGGCACCAGGCCCCGCTGCCCAGTCCACGGCGTACGAGGGCGCCCAGCCACTGTCACAGCCAGCATCTGGGGCGAGCACTCCCCTCATCCCCAGCGGGGGCCCCTCGGTCCCCGAGCCCAGCGGGCCGGCGGCCTCCTCCGCCTGCGCTGCCCCAGCCTCAGCAGCCGGTGCCTCCAGCAGCACCTCGCAGCCACAGAAGGCGTCCACGCCGCCCACCCTGGGGCCCAGCACGCTGCTCAGCTCGGCGCCCAGCCTGCCAAACCCTCTTCTACCTCAGACCTCCGCCAGCAGCGTCATCTTCCCCAACCCGCTGGTCAGCATCGCGGCCACGGCCAACGCGCTGGACCCCCTGTCGGCCCTCATGAAGCATCGCAAGGGCAAGCCCCCCAACGTGTCGGTGTTCGAGCCCAAGGCCAGCGCCGAGGACCCGTTCTTCAAGCACAAGTGCAGGTTCTGTGCCAAGGTGTTCGGGAGCGACAGCGCCCTGCAGATCCACCTGCGCTCCCACACGGGCGAGCGGCCCTTCAAGTGCAACATCTGCGGCAACCGCTTCTCCACCAAGGGCAACCTGAAGGTGCACTTCCAGCGGCACAAGGAGAAGTACCCCCACATCCAGATGAACCCATACCCCGTGCCCGAGTACCTGGACAATGTGCCCACCTGCTCCGGGATCCCCTACGGCATGTCCCTGCCCCCGGAAAAGCCGGTCACCACCTGGCTGGACAGCAAGCCCGTGTTGCCCACAGTGCCCACGTCGGTGGGGCTGCAGCTGCCGCCCACCATCCCGGGTGTCGGCAGCTACGCCGACTCCCCCAGCCTCACCCCTGCAAGCCGCTCCCCACAGCGGCCCTCACCGGCGTCCAGCGAATGCCCCTCTCTGTCCCCCGGCCTCAACACCTCTGAGTCCGGTGCCCCGGTGACCGCCGAGTCCCCACAGCCTGTGCTCAGTGGGCCTTCCCTGACCAAGACCGAGCCCGTGAGCCTGCCTTGTGCAAACGCCAGGGTGGGGGACATCCCTTCCGGCGGCAGCGGCGGCGGGCAGATGTCTGCCGCAGCCACATCGGCCGCCACCACCCTCACGGACAACAGCATCTCCACCGGCCTCTGCAGCCCGGTCCTCGTGGCCAGCTCTGACCAGTTCAAGGCCAAGTTCCCCTTCGGAGGGCTGCTCGACTCCATGCAGACGTCAGAGACGTCCAAGCTGCAGCAGCTGGTGGAGAACATCGACAAGAAGATGACCGACCCCAACCAGTGCGTCATCTGCCACCGGGTGCTGAGCTGCCAGAGCGCCCTGAAGATGCACTACCGCACGCACACCGGGGAGCGGCCCTTCAAGTGCAAGATCTGCGGGCGCGCCTTCACCACCAAGGGCAACCTGAAGACGCACTTCGGGGTGCACCGGGCGAAGCCGCCGCTGCGCGTGCAGCACTCCTGCCCCATCTGCCAGAAGAAGTTCACCAACGCCGTGGTCCTGCAGCAGCACATCCGCATGCACATGGGCGGCCAGATCCCCAACACGCCGCTGCCCGAGGGCCTGCAGGACGCCATGGACGCCGAGCTCCCCTACGACGACAAGGCCGCCGAGGTCCTGAGCAGCTTCGAGGACGACGTGGACGAGAACTCCATGGAGGAGGACGTGGAGCTGAAGGACGCGGCCGGCGACCCGTCCAAGCCGCTGCTGCCCTACGCGGCCTCCTGCCCGCCCTCGCCCCCGTCCGTCATCTCCAGCATCGCCGCCCTGGAGAACCAGATGAAGATGATGGATTCCGTCATGAGCTGCCCGCAGCTGACCGCCTTGAAGGCCATGGAGAACGGGTCCGGGGACAGCGACCGCCTCAGCAACGACTCCTCGTCCGCGGTGGGCGACCTGGAGAGCCGCAGCGCGGGCAGCCCGGCCCTGTCCGAGTCGTCGTCCTCCATGCAGGCCCTGTCCCCCGTCCACAGCCACAGCGAGAGCCTGCCCTCCAAGTCCCCAGGCCTCAGCACCCACGAGGAGCCGCAGGACATTCCGCTAAAGACGGAAAGGCCAGACAGCCCGCCCCCCGCCCCCGAAAACGGAGGCGCGCTGGACCTGACGTCCGCCCCCCCTGGCCGGCTGGCCATCAAGGAGGAGGCCCCCTTTAGCCTGCTGTTCCTGAGCAGAGACCGGGGTAAGTGTGAGCGCACCGTGTGTCGTGTCTGTGGCAAGCCTTTTGCTTGCAGGAGCGCGTTGCAAATCCACCACCGCAGCCACACTAAGGAGCGCCCGTTCGTCTGCGCGGTCTGCGGGCGCGGGTGCTCCACTATGGGTAATTTAAAACAGCACTTACTGACCCACAAACTGAAAGAGCTGCCTTCTCCGTTATTTGACCCCAACTCTGCTCTAGGTCCCAGCCAAAGCGCGCCGAGCCTGGTCACCGGCTCCGCGCCTGCCATGATCAAAATGGAGGTGAACGGGCACGGCAAAGCCATCACGCTGGGCGAGGGCCCGCCGCTGCCGGCCGCCGTCCAGGTGCCCTCCGGGCCGCAGGCGGTGATGAGCCCCGGCCTCGCGCCCATGCTGGCCCCCCCGCCACGCCGGACACCCAAGCAGCACAACTGCCAGTCGTGCGGGAAGACCTTCTCCTCAGCCAGCGCCCTGCAGATCCACGAGCGCACCCACACCGGGGAGAAGCCGTTCGGCTGCACCATCTGCGGGAGAGCCTTCACCACCAAGGGCAACCTCAAGGTGAGGCAACGGGCTGTGGTCGTCCCCCTCCCCGCCCCCCTGCGAGCCCCGGGGACACCAGGGATGCCCTCCACTCCCAGAGGGGTGGCAGCCTGCTGCTGGCCAGGGGGAGGCGCTGCTGGAGAGCCGACGCAAAACAGTATGTGTGCGCCTGTGGTGTGTGCACACGTGCAGAGTGTGAGTGTGGGTGTGCATGTGTGGGTGGGTGTGTGCACATGGGGGTGGGTGTGCACGTGTAGGTCAGTGTGTGTGCATGTATATGCACGAGTGTGCAGTGTGTGTGTATACCTCTCTAGTGTGTGCCTTGCATGTATATAATGTGTATGTGGGGGAGTGCATGGGTGTAACGTGCACACGTATAGTGTGTGTGTACTGTGTGGTGTCTGCATGTGTGTGTGCCGTCTGCATATGTGTGTGTGCCATGCGTGCACTCAGGTGCACACACTCACAATTACGGACGTGTGCATGCTATAGAGCATCTCCTCTCCCCTTGGGGGCTTGTGCAGCCCCTGCAGCGTGGCAGCCTGTTGGGGTGGTGGACACTGTGCCTGGTGGGCAGGCCCGGCTGTCTAGCATCTTGTGGAACACTGATGGCAAGACAAGCTGGGCCTTTAAACAGCTCCCCGTGATACAAATGGGGATACATCCTGCCCCAGGCCAGAAGCTGGTCCTGTTGTTTGTCCTGTGGCTGCTGAGGGGGCCATGGTCGTTTGGCGAGAAGCACCTAGCCCAAGGCCAGAGTGAAGAGCTGGCTCTGTGTTCATGGTTCAGTTCCAGCCTCTGTCCTTGTTCCCTGGGAAGTAGAGTGTGTGGCAGGCACTAGGTGATGCGTGCAGGCCAGTGTCCCACTCTCAGCTAACTGTGCTGCCCTCCAGCCATGCCAGGATCTCTTCAGAGACTATGAAAAGGTCAATGCCTGTGGCTTCTACTTACTGAGGTCTCTGCTGACCACAGATGCCCAGGATACTTCCTCTGTGATTGGGAGGGAGGCAGGGTGGAGCCAAGAGTCTCACCTATGAGGCGACTTAATGAGGCAGGGAGAGGCCCCCTATGCCAGGCTCAGGAGCCAAGAGGCCCTGAACGTTGGAACATCCTTTAGGGGGTTTTCATCTCACACCTTGGGGAGGAGAAGGTGTTCTATCAAGTTCATCAAGTGGAAGAAACATTAATACATTGCTGTCTTTGCCTTTTGTATTGAATAAAAAACAAGTCATATTCTGTATAATAAAAGGCTAATAAGCAAATTGGCTGGCAGAACAACCAGTCGCTATGGCATGCACTGACCACCAGAGGGCAGATGCTCAATGCAGGAATTGCCCCCTGATGGTTAGTGCACTCCCACAGGGTGAGCACTGCTCAGCCAGAAGCCAGGCTCATGGCTGGCGAGCATAGCAGCTGTAGCAGGAACCTTCCCTGCCTCCACGGCAGCACTAAAGATGTCTGACTTATGGCTTCCAGCCTGTGAGAGGGCACAGCTAGGCTGAGGGACTTGCCCCCCCCCCCAGTGCACACATTTTGTGCACCAGGCCTCTAGTTGAAGCATAAGATGCTCAGAGAAGTTTGCCTCATATGGACTGACTTAAGATAGGAATGGAAACAAGTCCTGAGTGAGCTCGCGTGTGTGTGGATGGCACTGGGGCATGCATCCACAGGCCCGCCTCGCGCCGCTTGCTCACTGGTTGTCTCCCTGTCTCCCATGCAGGTGCACATGGGCACACACATGTGGAACAACGCCCCTGCGAGGCGGGGCCGCCGCCTGTCGGTGGAAAACCCCATGGCTCTGCTGGGGGGCGATGCCCTGAAGTTCTCGGAGATGTTTCAGAAGGACCTGGCAGCACGTGCCATGAACGTGGACCCCAGTTTCTGGAATCAGTATGCGGCGGCCATCACCAACGGCCTGGCCATGAAGAACAATGAGATTTCTGTCATCCAGAATGGGGGCATCCCCCAGCTCCCGGTGAGTCTGGGTGGGAGCGCCATGCCCCCTGTGGGCTCCCTGGCTGCCAGCATGGACAAGGCTCGCACGGGCAGCAGCCCGCCCATGGTGGGCCTGGACAAAGCCAGCTCCGACACGGGGGCCAGCCGGCCGTTCACGCGGTTCATCGAGGACAACAAGGAGATCGGGATTAACTAGCCTGTGCTCGGCTGCTCGGCTGCCGTTCTGTCCCTCCTACGCACTGTGCCGTGTGACCGTCAGGAACACACCTGCCGTGCCCGGGTTCTGCTTAAAATTGTCCCCGTGGCAGAAAATTCGTTAGCTGTGTGGCTGCTGGAAGGTCGTCTCGTAAGCGCTGCATGGGTATTTCTCAGTGAGCTTGACTGTTCTTGAGAATCCTTCAACCTTTTAAATAAACATGAGTCAAAAGTCCCTGGAAAACCGCCTTGGGAGCAGAAAGGGCTCCAAGCACATCCGCTTCGTTTCTCCTGAAGCCTAATCATCCCGGGAGGGAACCGGGGGTCCCCTGCGGTATTCCAGCGACACTCATTCACAATAGTTAAACATTTGGACTCCGTTTTTAGAACTTGTATCCTAAAGACGTGGTCTCGTTCCTCCCAACGTCGTGTCTTATGACTGTACCTTTGTCTGTAGTATTTATAATGTTATGATTATGCGGGTAACAGACATGCAGCCCCAACTTGAAAGGTAGCTTTTGTACTGCAGAATACATCTGACAGTGTGATTTTTTTTTTTTTAAAAGCAAGATTTGTTTTACTATAAATAAGTGGGTTATTTCAATGCAGGCAAAATTGTGAAGTTCCATTGGGAAAGATAGCATGCTTTTTTGTGTGCAAGTACCTGTCAGTAACAAGCCTTTTTTTTTTATTTTTATTTAAATGTTTGTAGCTGCTATGTGGACAGTTGTTCTCTAGTGTGGTCTGTGGCCCAGCGAATGGGAACCCGTTACAGACGAGCGTCACCGTAAATTATTCACAGCATTATAAACCGTTGTGAGTAAATATTTCACGTATCAAAGCTGTACAATAAAGAGGTAATGTTTGTATAATGTGGTTGCAAACTCTTAATTTATACTGTTGCACTTTTAGTATTTTGTATTAGGGAGGTTTGTCTATAATTTGAAGATTTAAAAAGATGTATTTTATAAATAGTACTTTGATTTAAGGAAAATGGAGAAAAAAATACACCTGTTATTGTTTCTTGTTTTAAGGTCAGACAACATGAAAAATCGATGCTACTTAAAACAGAAAAGTCACCCAGTCTTCTCAGTTCCACAGTAATATAGGACCTGCCATTTCTTCAGTTAAAACGACTTACTTTTCTACAAAGTGCATTTAAGAACCTGACCCCCTCTAACGAAACTTTGATGAATTCATTTTAGGAAGGGGCTGGGGCCACCGTGGGAGCCAGGAGCTAAGAGGAGGACGTGTAGGTACAATTTTACTGTTATCTCTGTCTCTGTCTTACACACCTGTGAGGGAGCCCTGACTGCCCTGAGCACTGGTCCTTGTGTCCATAAACTGGGGAGAAATAATCAGTCTGGCAGGATAATCAGTCATAACTGGGAAACTCGCTCCATTCCTGGTGGATTTGTTACCTTCTCAGATGAAAACCAAGCACAATGTCATCCGATGACTCACAACACCTGCTTAAGCTGGTGACTTCCTGGCCTGAGGGAGGGACCCGCCCCACAGCCAGGTGGGCGGGTGGGTGGGTGGGCGGGGCTGGCGGTGGGGGCGGGGCTGCCTGTTCTACCTCATTTTGTGTGTTGGGAGCGGGCTGAAGTCTGAGACTATGGGCTTCCTCCAGCATCACTGTCCCAGAGATGTTCAGGTCCCAGTGCTCTGAAGAAGGAATCAGACAGCAACCTCGGCTGAAATAAAACAAAACAAAAATAGAATAATCTTTCCTACTCAACCACAGCGGACAGATCACATGGTTGAACAGTGTGGAAGACTCATCACAAAGCAGACTGCGAAGTGTGTTTCTGTAGGGAATGAACTCTGAACTCACTCCACAGCCCTGTTTTCCGAGGGATGGGGTCATGGGGTCGTGTCCCCACCGCGTGCCGCCGCCCCTCCCCGTGGGATGGGGGGAGGGGGGTTCTCAGCATCGTTGGGAAAAGAAACAGGTGGCTTCGTGTTGCTGTGTTTCAGCAGTTGAATGTTTTTATTATTTATCTGTGTCCTTTTTTTGGCGTGAATTTTTTGTTGTTAGTATTTGATCCCGTGCAGGGGTTCTGTCTTCTCCCAAGAGGATGTGTATATATAACTTCAGAGAAATGTAAAGTGTGTAAATAAGACAGCTCGTGACAGGACCGCGAGACGGGCCCCCTCTGTGTTCAGGGCGTGGCCGCCCCTCTCTGCATGGTGAAGAGAGACACTATTTTTCTACTGGGATGCCATGTGGGGCCAGGGCCTCCCCGAAGCGGCGGGCATTGTTACCTAGATCCAATATTTTTTATGACGAAATCTGTGGCTTGACACACCTGCTGATCAAAATGGATGTCTTAGTCTAGGTTCCTATTTTGTCATATGGAGTTGAATAAAATGCAGGATGTCCTACTACTTCTGAATCATGTCCCTTGATTATTCAAATTGAAGCAATGGAATTTGAGTTGTGGTCTCACTTATTGGGGGGCGGGGATTGTACATCCCCGGTGTTTCTCTGAGGAAGGTCAGTCAGTGTGGGTTGACTGCTCAGATGTAAGCAATATCTCTGTGTATCTTGACTGGTCTTAAAGTGTTTAGTTTTCCTTTTTTTTTTTTTCCTCTCAAATAAAAAGGCAGCCTCCTGATTGTGGATGTGTCTCCTCTACGATGGAAGAGGGTAAAGTAGAAGATGCCTATTAGGGGCTGTTGGCAGTGTCCAAACACGACTGCTCAGTGACCAGCTCCCGTGAAGACAGGGCCTCTTCCAGCCACTGGGAAGATAGGCAGCTGTGCCGGGAGGGCCTGGGAAGGGAGGGGCGGCAGCGAACCGTGGGCACCTTTCCCGTTATTCCCGGTGGAGGATGTTCTCGACTCTGAAAGCAGCTTTACCTCACCCATAACATCTGATAAGACTTACAACTTTAAATATTTCATAGCTTCTGCTTTCAACATACATAATCCATTGTCTTTTTTTCTTCTTCTTTTTTTTCTTTTAGTAACTACTGATACCTAGGAGCCACAGTAACTTTTACCTGGGAAGTGCCAGGTGATTTTTAAAGATCTGATCAAGGTATTAACCACTAATTGAACTGCCCAGGCCACCCTCCCAACCTGTCATCGGCCTTAGGGATTTAACCCATGTCGATTTCGCTGCTAATCTAGGGAGGATGAGGATAGAAAGTGACTAACTCAGTAAATTTGGGTTTTGTTTTTTTAATGGTTTTTTTTAATGGTAAGAAAAATAGCAAAAATGTCTATAACCATTAAAACAACTAATATAAATTAAACTGGGGGGGGGGGGGGAGATAGAGAGGAGACGGGGGCCTACTTCTTATTTCAAAGATGTCGCCAATGTAAAAACCAGAGGCGGTACAGCTTCATGAGCCCTGGGTTTTTGCTACTTTGTAGCATCAACTCTGGTTTGCTTAGACTATATAACAAAGAATCAGAAATGCCAACAACCCCTAAATATTATTTATTTAAATACGTTTCTGCTCCAAGTGCATTACCGGGACCGTTAACATTTAACACCAATTAAAACGTATTGCTAAAGGGCTAAAAAGCAATTGTTCTTCAACTCTCCCCTGTTTAATTTCATCCCGGTAGCAGCTTGAAGGCGGGTGGGTTCTCTGCCTGCCTCTCTCTCCTGCGCTTGGCTCCTGCGCAAGCCTCACAAAGAATCGGGTCGCGGCCACATCAGGGGCATTTCTTTATTACGAGGCGGCACGGACGTTTCCAGCCCAACCACCTTCAAATCGCTGCACTGGTTCTGGCTGGCTGCCCGATGCCACACGAGCCCAGGCCCCTCATTCCCCGCCGCGTGCTTGCAGCAGGTGACAATGTCACACGCGTGGAATTCTGCATCCAGCCACCCTGTGGGCTTCCAGGTTCCACCCTTTGTGTTAAAGTCGAGGCCCACGCTCCCATCACCACACTGGGGTCCGGAGGGAGGGCTTGTTTTCTCCTCTGGGAAGCTGCTGGGGACACATGGGAAACGGGCCTGTTTGCTGACTTCGAGCTACTGTAAAACCTGATCTACAAAATACTCTGCAAACCTGGGAAGAAAATTCAATTCCCCTTTTCCACGTAAGTGGGAAATGGTAAGCATTATTTCAGCTTCCTTTAAGAAAGGACGTATTTAAAGTGAGATCACCCTAGAGGCACTTTCCTACCATTCCGTTCACGTGTTTGTACCAAGTTCACAGGCTCGGGGGGTGGGCGTCTCCCCAAGTCTGTGACCCAGCTGGGCATGCTCTGCAGTGGGCACAGGATGGGCCCCCAGGGCCAGGCTGGCTCCCCCTGTGCAACGTGACAGCTTCAGCCCCTCCCATCCCTCCTTCCCTCCACCTCCTTATCTGTAAGAACCTGGTAGAATTGGATGACATTAAAATCCTTCCCACTTCAAAAGCTCTGTGTTTTTTTTAGTTTTGTTTTTTTTAACAAGAACGACCATTAATGTACACCTTCCTTTTTCTCCCCAAAGTTCACTAGACAGACTGACAGTATTTATAGAGAGAATATACAAATGATTACCTAAGACTATAACTGAGAAATCTATTACAAATGCCTTTGCTAAAGAAAATGTGTGGAATCATTTTTGGATCATGAGAAATATGTTGGTATCTTTGACTTTTTTTTTTTTTAATCATTGAATTCATTAAAGCTTTTTAAAATGCAATTATATTTAAGGTAAAATAAAAATCAAGCTCTGTAGACATTATGCCTACTGCGTTTTCTTGTCAAGAGTCTCATATGTGGCCTGCTTTGTGTCCCAGGTGCTGCGCACACACAGGCACAATGCGCTTCTCATTAGGGTGAGGTGTCCATGTGTTCAGAAGAGTATGCAACTATGGCCATGGTTATTTCATATTGTTCCTGTTAGTATCAGAGAACTTAAGCTGTTAACATCGGTGGTCCTGTTCTAATTTGTAACTGCCGGCAGTTTGGTCTAACCTCTCTGGCAGTATTACAGATGGTTTTAGGGTAGCTTTGCCTCTTGCTCGCTCCCTTCCGGCTGTATTCAGT